AGAGAGAGACACAGTGAGAGAGGGAACACAAGCAGGGGGAGTGGGAGAGGGAGAAGCAGGCCTCCTGCTGAGCATGGAGCCTGATGCAGGGCTCGATCCCAGGACCCTGGGATCATGACCTGAGCCGAAGGCAGACACTTAACGACCGAGGCACCCAGGCGCCCTCTAAATATTTTTTTAAGATTTTATTTATTCATTTGAGACAGAGAGATACAGAGAGAGCGAGCCTGAGCAGGGAGAGCGGCAAAAGGAGAGGGAGAGCCGGGAGCCCGATGCAGGGCTCGATCCCAGGACCCTGGGATCATGACCTGAGCCGAAGGCAGACGCTTAACGACTGAGCCACCCAGGCGCCCCAAAGCTGGTATTTTTTTTTTTTAAAAGAACAAATAAGGCCGTGAACTGTGGACTGAACTAAGAAAAAAAAAAAAAAATCCCAGTGTTGAAATAGAAGGCTAGCCCAAGGCTGCTTACCAGAACCCAGGAAAAGAAGAAAGACAAACATAGAAAGATGATGAATAGATCACAGATATTAGAACCGTTTCCAAACTCGAAAGATAAAGAAGAGAATCCACCAGCATCTAGGAAAATAATCAGATTAACTACAAAAGAAAAACAAAAACTGGGGTGGCCTAAGGCTTCTGTGCGAAGCCCGATGTTAGAGCCACATCCAATACCTGCAGGGCAGGCCCTGGCACCCAAGCGGGCTCAGGGAGAGCGAGGAAGGGTGGCTGCAGGCCTCCCACGACTCCCAGCAGCCACAACTGCTGGAAGCCTACAAGATGCTCAAAGGAACTACGAGAGGGGTCACAAAGAGTACTTACCCTTTTCAAGAGCTCACCAATTCTCCCCCAGACTGCCTCCTTCCACTCAGTCCATATTTACTGAGCACCCACCATGTGGGGCACAAGGTAGACACAGTTCCTACCCTCACGTGACCCAGAACCCTTCCCAGGGGACAGAAACCTGGAATGGTCCTGGACACTCGTCTTCTTCTCAGTTATCACTTCTATCCCTTCCCCACATGTGGGTCCCTGGCACCTGGTCCAGTGCCCACCCCAGGGCGGGCTGGCATAAATACGTGAATAAATGAGTAAACGGCCCACAAATGAGTCCACTCGTCTCTCTTACACTGCTGCCAGTCACGTTCCAGATGTCATCCATCAGCTTACCAGGCCACCGTGAGCAACTCTCACTGGTCTCCCTTCTCCAGCCTGCCCCTCTACCTCGCCCCAGCAAAACCATTCTCTACATGCCAGCTGGGGTGACCTCTCTACAAGTCAAATCTGATCTCATTACCAGCTTGCACTTCAGGCACTGGTAGCCTAGCTTGCTTCCGAACAACCCTCCAGGGAGAGCAACTAGAAAAGCCAGACAGAAAAAAAAAACTTTAAACCTGCTTGATATTATCATAGAGCTACAAGGCGGAGAGGCCATGAGGGGCCAGGGTCTTGGAGAAAAGGGAAGCCCAAAGAGGGGAACCTGATACACAGCATCATTTCTCCCTTTGGGGTTTTGTTGCTTTGAAAGTGGCAGTTAAAAGAAGGAGAAGCTGGGGGTGGGGGAGATGGGTGAAGGTGGTCAAATGGTACAAAATTCCA